GTCGATCCCCACGGCCCGCCTGGCCCCCCTCCACGCAGCTTGCTGTGCTGCAGCCTGGCACAAACAATGTCAGATTTTCCACCCTGTGCTTGGGCCCGGTCTCCCCGCTCGCTGGAAGGGCCTGCAGGCGGCTGTCGTCCTCCAACCAGGAGGAACCCTTCTGCTCCGCAGAGATTCCTGGATGGCACTCAACAACCGCTCAGCGGAACGCCCTCCACCAAACGCCGCCGCCCTCCTCCATCCTGCTGGCCAAGATCTTTCCCACCACCACGACCACCGACCTCCCACCAAGCCACTCTTCCTATGAAGTGCCAACCCGAAAATATTTCTTCAGCTTGGCTCGCATCATCCACCCAAGGCAGAAAGCTCCAGGCGCGCATGCATGCACATAGACACCCAGCTCACCCTCACCCTCTCGGGGTCCCTGCCAGGCCAAGCTCTGCCCCAGAACTCACGGAAGAAAAACATCCCCCCCCCGGAAGGAGGCTGGGCTCCACAGAGCTGCCTCTCGGAAAGCAAGGCACGCCCTTCAGACAGCAGGGGCCAAAAAAGATGGCTCCGTGGAAAATGGCTCCCTCCCCTCCCGCCTTCGGTCCACCCACCCACTTACCTCCCTGTCCTTGAGTTTCATAGCAAGCATCAGCTGATGTCTGTGGTTCGTCAAGGCCTCCCGGTAGTTTCCTTTGGAGAAGAATGCAGAGCCCAAATTGCCGTGAGCTCGGCATTCCCCCATCTGGTCACCTGGCAAACAGAAGAGACCTTGGACTGAAGGGAGGGGATTCCTCAGGGTGGCCCCACTGGAAGACTCTTCCCTTCTTGACCAGCAGCCTCCCTCCACCCGCCAGAAGGCCTTCTCCGCCCGCCCACCCATCCCCTTGGACTGTCCAGGCAGACAAGCGAACCTCCCCTGGCCTTGTTCCTCCAGCCGTGCTCTAGCCCTGGGCCAGCCGCCTCCCCCCCCGCCCCGCTTCCCCACACCCCAGGGCCCTGTGAACCCCCCGGGCCGGACGCCCTCCTGGCCCTCGGCTTCTGCCATAGGCCTGTCCTCTTCCTCCTGGCGGACGAGCTTTTCACGCCCTTGGCCTCAGGGACTCCAAGCGAGGAGACGGGAACCGGCCCAGGCCCGGTTCCCTTTCTTTAAAGGCGAAAGAGGCACGGGTGGGCGTGACCACTGGTGGAAGGGAATGGGCTGGAGGGTATCCCGGCCCCTGGAGGCCACCGGGCTGCCCAGCCCCAAGCCGGCCGCCAACGAGGGTGGTACCTAAAGTCTTGGCGACGTCCAAGTCCTGCTGCATGTAGCCAGCGCTCTTCTCTGAGTTGCCCAGGGACCAGTAGGCGCTGCTCAAGGCGGAGAAGACGGAGCCCCTCAGCTTGAGGCTGCAGGTGCCAATCTTCAGGGCTGCTTCCAGGACCACCACCGAGGCCCCGTGATGGCCGGCCGTCAGGAGCTCCTGGCCAACCACCGAGACCACCACGAAGGGACTCTTGTCCAGCTTCATTTTCTGCAGCTGCTGGTACGTCGGCTCGAGAGACTCTGGGGAAGGGAAGGGAAGGACCGGAAAGGAAAAGGCTGAGCAGCGTTTCCTCTCACGGCTTCTGCAGCCACTGTTTCGCTCCATTCCCATTCAGAGAGGAGCTGTTTTTCTACCCCACAAGGTTTCGCCGGAGCCTTTCAAAAGTCAAGCCCGGAAGCTTCATGCGTTCACTGACTAAGGATATCTTTCGGCCACTTTTCTATCAAGGTACCCAACGTGGGCAATTAAACAGAAAAAGACAGAACTCCTGAAAGACAGCTACGTCCAGCTCAGCCCAGGGCAAGAGGGTCCTGGGAGGTCCGGTAAACCTACAGAAGCCCCAGTGGCAAAGTGGCAGCCAGGCTGGCACCTACTGCTGGCACCCTGGGACGCGGGCCGAGCCCATTTCTACTTTCGCCTCTCCTGTTCTGGAAGAGCAAGAAGAAGCCGAACTGGGCAGGAATCTGGCCAGCCCACCTCTGCAACTCTGGCCGTGTCGTGGTGCCGGCCATTAATCCAAGGCATGCTGGAGGCTGGACTAGAGCCAGAGAGCAGAGCGGTCCTGAATTCACAGACAGACACACGCACACGCACGCACGCTCTCACCTCGCATGGGAGACTTCATGGCGGCTTCCACCATCCCCACCAACAGCTGCAGACTCTTGGGGTCTTGCGCCAGCCCAGAAGCAAAGGCAGCCAGAGCATCGGCATGGCGCCCGAGGTACTGGAGGGCAACGCCCTGGCGGAAGTAGGCCTGGAAAGAGAGGAGCAGGAGGCGCCAGTGAGCCCTTCGGCCCGGCCGGAAGGAGAGACGCTCGAAGGCCCGCCCAGGCTCCGGCTAAATGTGTTCAGGGATTTCTTTGGCAGCGTTTCTATGCCATTCCTCGAGGGATGGGCCGAGGGACTCAAAGCGGTTTACAATAACTGAATTGAAAAGAAGACAAGACAAGACATCCCGGTAATTAAGAGCAATACACTTCTCCCGAAAGAGTTGAACACGAACGATGGATAATGTTCTCGGTCGGGAAGACGGAGCTTTCCTTCCCGACAGAAGTGCTCTCAGGGGGCTGGGAGCCCACCTGGTCTCCATGGGGAGAGGGCCCTTCCGCACGGCATGGGCCGCAACACGGGAGGCCCTCCTCTGCCTCGCTGCCCCAGAGCCCCGCCTGCCCCCAAGGCAGCCAACAGAGCCGCCGTGGCGCCTTCGGATGACGGACCTTCCAAAGAGGACCAGAGCGCTTTGCCCCCCTGGGCGTTTCCGGTGGAAAGGCCGCCATTCCTTCGCTCACCCCACGGTCCCATCGCGGCCCTCCCAAGAGAGCTTCTCGAAAGCAGTCAGCAAGGACTATCACGCCATGACCTTACTTGTGCATCCATCGCACTCATGGCTCAGGAAGGGGCTCTCGGCCCCTCACTGATTCTGGCCCATCATCCTGCTGCCTGGACAACTCCCACACACATTCCCCCAGGCCAGGGAAAAGGAGGAAGGGCCATCCTCATAGCTGAACGGCCAGGAGGGACGACGACGTCCTGAGCCTGGATAGGAGGAGGGATGTTGTTACCCAAGTGGAACAGATCGGCCATTAGTAGCCAAAGTGGCTCTTCCGGAGGGCTACAGGCTTGCTCAGGAGCCAGTCCACAGAGGCAGAGATTTAGAAAAATCAGAAATGACATGGGAAATTTATAGACATGAATATTTAATCTCTTTTCCATTAGCAAACGTTGATTGTAGAACCGTTTTTAATGAATTGGAGAGAAGCAGAATTCATTTCATTAACCTTCAGCATAAATGTGTTATTATTGAACCAAACAGGCCGGCATCATACAGATCCCGCTCCAAAGCAATTAGATGGGAGGTAGCAGGGCCTGACGCTCGGGGAACCCTCTGGAACAGGCAGGCAGCCGGGGCCAGCCGCCAGGGATCGGGGGGAGGGGGGAGAAGCACTTCCAGCCCCACAACACGGCACTACTGTGTCCTCATGGCAGTTCGCAGGAGGTCCAGGGAGGGGGGTGGACGCTGGAGCCACCCAGCCAAGGAAGGACCCACAGGAAATTTCCTCTACAGCCCAGCTCTTGAAGGAAGGATGAGGCCAGGCCGGCGTCTGCACAGACAGGAGCCGCCACAGATCACACAAACCCCTTCCTGAATCCTGCAAAGCCGCCCCAAAGAGGGAAGAGAAAAGAGGGCCTGGGAAAGAAAGAACAGACTCTGGGGGGGGGGGCTTTTGTTCGACTCAGACTGGGCTGGAGCAGCTGCTCCCACCCCTCACAGGCTGTCTCTGTGGCGTCCCACGTTGGAGCACAACGAGGGGGGCTCCGCCAGTCCTTCGCCACAGCGGCAGCAAAGGCGGGGGCGGGGGCGGCTCAGGGTCCCTGCAGCCCACTGCGCCTGCTCGGCTTTGTCTTCCTCTGGGGGGGGGGAACCTTCTGATCCCAGCCCTACTACGCAGGCCTTGAAATTCCACAGGAGATTTGAAATAGACGTTAAAGTTGAGAAAGATTTCAGCATCTCTGAGCACTGAACCAGGAATAGCTGCGTTACACCAAGCCGGGGTCATGTCCAACCCTCCAGACAATGTGGGACCACCGCAAAAGCACTACGCAGCCCACCCCAGGGTGTGAGGGAGGATGGGAGGGGAAGTCCTGAGAATAACTGGAGGGTCGGCCATTGCCTGCGCCCGGCGTAGATTATGACCAAATGATTTGCCCAAGGGAGGAAAAAAACGAGCCTCTTTCCCTGCCCTTCACAACTTAATGAGCAAAGAGTGGCCTAGAATAACGTGGGTCACACGCATGCACCAGCCGTGCCGCCGCTGAGCGAGGGGTGGCCCTTCCTCCTATCGGCACTGCCCCCCCCCAGGTCCCAAAGACAAGGGGGCAGCTTTCAAGAGAGATGCCCTGGCTCTGGGAGGCCATGAGGGGCGATGGCGCCAAGACCATGACACTGACCAGGGGCAAAAGGAAGGGGACCGGTGCCACCCGAAACCATGCCGACGGGCTACAGCCAAGGGCGACTCCCGGGCACCACCGATGGCCTAGGAGCATTTGATAGCACTTTGTCAACAACCTTGTAATTGACACACATCCACTCCAGGCCTGCCCTGTTACGCTGCTTATCATCAGACCCTGCCAGAGGACCATCCACAGTAACCTATCAGACTGGCTCCTCTCTGGTCTCTGCACCCCCCGAGACTTTCACTGGCAGGAAACGAAGCCACGGAGCGAACCTGTCTTGTGGGGAGACCTGCCAGGTTAAAAGAATATACTGAAGTGTAAAAGAAAAATGCCACCTGGCTGCTGCCAAACATCCAGAGGAGGCCATCCCAAAACAGGAAGGCAGGCCATGGACCCGAATCATGCCCCCAGGGCAATCGAAAGGCACTGGACAGGACAAGAGGTCAGCTGGTGGCTGCCCAGCCCTTTTTCACGAAGCCCACGCCAAGATTCAACCTGGGGCCACGGGCAAGACCACCCCGTCTCCCGGCCCTCCAGCCTCTCCTTCAGTATCAGAGACCTGAAGGGCTGCCTTCCCCCTGAAAAGGACAGCCCACCCCCTTGTAACAACTGAATGAGGAGGGAGGCTGTTGTGCAAGTCTCCCCCCCCAATCACGCACGCCTGGGTCCCAAGGAGGAACCCCCCCAGGCTCCTCACCCCCTGTCCTCCCCACCTGCCCTCTCCCTGGGAGGAGGAGCAGCGGCAGTGGGGGCTTAATGGGCTGCCCAAAGGTGACCTGACGACAGGGTTAATCCACAAGGAAGCTGGCTAAAGTTGGACTGAAAAGTGATTATGCTGCTTCTGGTCGTCCCGGGGGACTGTGCGCGCCGGAATAACGTGGGTCACACGCATGCACCTCCTATCGGTGCTGGCCCCCCAGGTCCCAAAGACAAGGGGGCAGCTTCCAAGAGAGATGCCCTGGCTCTGGGAGGCCATGAGGGGCGATGGCGCCAAGACCATGACACTGACCAGGGGCAAAAGGAAGGGGACCGGTGCCACCCGAAACCATGCCGACGGGCTACAGCCAAGGGCGACTCCCCCCCCAATCACGCACGCCTGGGTCCCAAGGAGGAACCCCCGCAGGCTCCTCACCCCCTGTCCTCCCCACCTGCCCTCTCCCTGGGAGGAGGAGCAGCGGCAGTGGGGGCTCAATGGGCTGCCCAAAGGTGACCTGACGAGGAGGAACCCCCAGGCTCGGCACCTCCTGTCCTCCCCACCTGCCCTCTCCCTGGGAGGAGGAGCAGCGGCAGCGGGGGCTTAATGGGCTGCCCAAAGGTGACCTGACGACAGGGTTAATCCACAAGGAAGCTGGCTAAAGTTGGACTGAAAAGTGATTATGCTGCTTCTGGTCGTCCCGGGGGACTGTGCGCGCCCCGCAGGGAGGTCAGGCAGCTTAGCTGGATTCCAAGACCCCTGATTAGTATTCACTGGTTAATTTTGCTATGAAAACCAGCACTCGTGCAAGGCAACGCGTCTGCGTAACAAACGGCTCTCCAATTTGGAAGCAGGCCGTCAGCAGATAATGGGGAGGCCGCTGCCCGGCCAAAGCAGCTCCACGCCAGCAAAGGGGTCTTTACTGTTTAGGAGGAAAGAAAACATCAGGCAGGTCAAACTCAGGACCACCCCGAAGACAGCTGAGTGGCATGGACCCTGCCTGCCCACTCCCACCTGCAAGACCCTGCTTTTGGGGGTGACCGTGCAGGGGAGAAGGAAAAAGCGGGCTCCCCAGGAGCACAAAAGAGCAGCAGCAGAACAAGACAGACGGAGAGGCGGCCACCACAGCAAGACAGCGATGGGATAGCCTGGCAGGGCAGGCAGGTGGCAAAAACGGCCAGAGACGTTCAAGGCCTGGAGAAAGAATGGAAAGGAACTGGATGTCTCCTTGTGATTTTCTCTTCCAAGAGGGGCTGTGATGTCTCTGACACCCTTCCAAAAACCAAAGATTAATATTTGGTTTTAGAAAGAAAGAAAGAAAGAAGGAAAGAAGAAAAGAAAGAAAGAAACAAAGAAGGAAAGAAATAAGGGAAGAAAGGAAGAAAGAAAGAAAAAAAGAAAGGAAGAAAGAAAGAAAGAAG